CCCGCCCCGCTTCCGCCTGAAACTACACAAGAGCTTGTGGTGGGACCTCAGTCTCCAAGAGAACCTAGTGGGCTGAGATGGTCCTGAATGGGCCACTGGACGTACCAATCTGAACAACCTTTAGAAATGACTCTGGGTGCCCAGCATGGGAGCCGTGCACTAGTCCATGCTGGAGAAATACTTGCTAAAGGAAGGCATGAATTGCATACAGCGTGTTGGAGAGGAAGTAGTTTAAGTTACTGTCCGTTCACTGTCCATGCCACGCATATCTTGAACCCCTTCGATGTGCCATCACTGCAGTAGGTGCTGGTGATATGGCAAAACACAAGATAGGCATGGACCTTGCCGTCCATGCCATGAGGTGGGGTTCAGCCGTGGCCAAACTACGGCCCGTGGGCCGGATCCGGCCCGTTTGAAATAAATAAAACTAAAAAAAAAAAAAGACCGTACCCTTTTATGTAATGATGTTTACTTTGAATTTATATTAGTTCACACAAACACTCCATCCATGCTTTTGTTCCGGCCCTCCGGTCCAGTTTAAGAACCCATTGTGGCCCTCGAGTCAAAAAGTTTGCCCACCCCTGGGTTAGACCGTCATTGCCTTCACTTACAAACGAGAAGTGATTTCGGGGCTCATTCTCGAGCCTGCCTGACAGCTATGGCCCTAAACCCTACACTAAGTTTTGCTTGAGGCTTCTGAGGAGCCTTGTGTCAGCAGCATCCTTTTCATCATCGATTCTCCACAGTCACATCCAGGCTTCTGAGTTCCAGGGCAAGGTCCACAGAGGGCCACTGTCATCCGTGGCAGGGGTTGGTAAGTGCTTGGTCACTGACCCTTCAGGCTGCCACGGCTGGAGCCAGAGTTCTCTGCAAACCTTGTTCAGAAAAAACTGGTACCAATCTGACAGTGCCACCCGAGCGAGCGCACAGGTCCCCCGGGCAGGTTCCCCAGGCACGTCAGAGCCAGCTTTTCTGGGACTCTGTTTCCGCACTTTGCTTCCCTCCACTAGAAGGCTTGAGAGGATGGATGAGATGGATCAGTATGCATGTGGATCCTGCTCCCAAGCCCAAAGGGAACGGCTGGTGAGCTCCCGAGGAAGCCTGCAGAGCCTCCCTCTGCCTTCTCCTCAAGTGCTCACAGCCAGGAGGGCTCCAGGCCAGTCACCGCAATGCCATGTTCCCACCTGCATCCGAGTCAGAGAGGTGTCCACAGAGAAAGATACCCTCTCGCCCGAATCCTCTGAGGACGGGGATGTCAGACTAACATTTATCAAATGCATCCCTCACCTTCTCACACTTCTCTCCATCCAGCTTCCCTACATCTTTCCTCTGAGGAAGCCCTAATGAGTCCCATTTTACAGGTGAGAAGATCAAAGCACAGAAAGATAAAACAAAACAAAAAAAACACCCCCCCCCAAAAAAAACACCCCAAAACACTCCCAAGGTCACAACACGGAGATTCAAACCCAAGTGAGCTCATCTGGTCCCTGACCCATGAATCTGACCCTGAAGCTGTCTCATGGGTTTTTCTGGGTAAGGATGATCTACATACTATATTATCCAAGATGCCAGCCCCTCCATTGCAAAATGAGTTGGACTAACCTCGTGCCCTGGGGTCTACATCAGGGAATTAGTTCACTGTCCAAGGCAAATTCCTGAGGCACAAAATACGGCCTTAGGGTGGATCATTCAGCCAATCAACGAACAAATATCGAGCATCCCCTGTGTACAAGACGGTTTGCAGTTGTTCTTAAAAGTTATATTGGGACCTGGAGAGCCTTCCCCAGAAAAGCATCAGCAGGACGATGGAAGGATTGCTTGGAGGCTGGGAGGGTTGGGATGGACCCACGGGGGTGAGGGAGCAGGACCAGGGCTGCGGAGTCCTCTTGCTGTTAAAGACGTGCACTAGTCTTTGGCCCTTATGGTCATCTCTCTGCTAAATCACTGGGTGCCTCCCCACCACCACCATCACCACCACCACCAACACCACCACCAAGAACAACCTCTGGGGCTTTTTCTCATCTCTGCTTTCATTCTGCTTTCTCAGAGGGTGTGTGTGTGTGTGTGTGTGTGGGG